TGTTTTTATTATTATTATTATTATTATTATTATTATTATTATTATTATTATTATTATTATTATTATTATTATTATTATTATTGTTGTTGTTGTTGTTGTTGTTGTTATTGTTGTTATTGTTACTGTTACTGTTACTGTTACTGTTACTGTTGTTATTTGTTGTTGTTGTTTGTTATTTGTTGTTGTTGTTGTTGTTATTATTATTATTATTATTATTATTATTATTATTATTATTATTATTATTATTATTATTATTATTATTATTATTATTATTATTATTATTATTATATTTTCAGACGCTGAAAAACTATTTTAAACAACGCCTTGTGATTCGCTATTTTCCCCGGAAAAACTTTCGCAAATCGAAATTTTATGCAATTCTTCCCATGTTAGTTGAAAATGTCATGAAAAAGTGCAACACAATGCAATACAATGCAAAGGAAAAATTTAATGCAACGCAATGCAATAAATAGTGTGATGAAAGGCAATAAAAATGCAAACGTGTAGCTATAGTCTCTTAACCATGCTCGTGTTGGAAATTATGCTGTAGATCAGAAAAAAAAACAAGGGGAAAAAGCCAATTGAAAATTGGTTATAAAAGGTGGCTTTTTAAACTAAAAGTTCCAAAAGTTTAAAACTGGTGTTTTAGCGCAGTAGGCAGCGCGACGGTTTTCTTGGTCTGAAAGTCTTGAGTTCGAGTCTCAGAAAAGGACTTTCCCTAGAAAAGTAAAAATAATTCCCCCCCCCGCTTTCTTGCACAAAACTTTATTAAAGCACTAAACTACTTTACATATACGTGTCACCTTTCTGTGCATTGTGCTAAAACTCAAGGAGTAAAGGAAGCCGAAAGCAGAGCCTTTTTTTAAACTGATCACTGCTGAGAGTTTCAGTCTAAGCAAGAAATCTCGACCCCCGGTGTGATAAATGCCCCTTTAGTGGACATCATTACACACCATCAGTTGAATCACCCCAGCAATCCCATTGATTCCCCCCATCCGGTCATTAATTTATAATACCCACTGCCACTATAAATGAATAACATGATAGCAAACAACCCGTTAATTTACCACCAATAAATTCAGAAGGAATACCACTAGAAAAAATTGAAAGGATCACGCTTGAAGTAAAGACAAGGATAGAAAAAGCCCGAACAGCATTCTTCAAAATGAAAAAGGTCTTCTGCAGTCACGACATAAGCCTAAGACTAAAAATCAGGCTTGTCAGATGCTATATTTTTTCTATCCTGCTCTATGGAGGAGAGAGTTGGTCTCTGACAGAAGGCCACCTGAAGAAACTAGAAGCATCTGAAATGTGGATTTACAGGCGACTGTTACGTATAAGCTGGGTTGACAAGATCGGAAATGAGGAGGTGATAAGCCGCCTGGGAAAGCCAAAGGAAATAATCAAAACAATTAAAAAACGAAAATTAGAATATTTTGGACATGTGATGCGACACCCAGAAAAATACGGCATACTCCATTTAATCTTCCAGGGAAAGATTGAAGGCAAACGAGGTCCAGGCAGAAGAAGAACATCGTGGCTTCAAAATCTAAGGGATTGGTTTGGACAAAATTCAACAGCACTTTTTTGTGCGGCTGCTGATAAAAACAGGATCGCCAACATGATCGCCAATGTCCAATAACGGATATTGGACAAGAAGAAGAAGAAGTGTTCTAATATTTGAGGCGCTGTCACAGAGAGGAGGGGATCAACCTATTTTCCAAAGCACCCGAAGGCCAGACAAGGCATAACGGATGGAAACTGATCAAGGAGAGATTCAACCTAGAAATAAGGAGAATTTTTCTGGCAGTCAGAACAATCAACCAGAGGAACAGATTGCTTTCAGAAATTGTGGGAGCTTCATCACTGGAAGCTTTCAAGAAGAGACTGGACTGCCATCTGTCAGAAATGGTGTAGGATCTCCTGCTTGGGTGGGGGGTTGGACTAGATGACCTATAACAGTGGTTCTCAACCTTTTTAATGCCGCAACCCCAACTGGTCGTAAGTCGAGGACTAAACCGGTCGTAAGTCGAGGACTAAACCGGTCGTAAGTCGAGGACTATCCCTGCCTGGGAGCGCTGCACATGCGTGGTTCCGCCCCCTGCGCCGGCCGAGGCGTAGCTGGCAAGCGGCAGAGACGGAGCAGGCCGACCACCAGCTGGCCCAGCCCAAGGGAGGTAAGGCACCTGCCGGAAAAGGGAAAAAAAATGGCGGACAAAAAAAATGGACAAAAAAAATGGCGGACAGCCTTGCTTGGCGACCCCCGTGAAATGGTCGATCGACCCCAAATGGGGTCCCGACCCACAGGTTGAGAACCACTGACCTATAAGGTCCCTTCCAACTCTGTTATTCTATTCTATTTGAAGATAATCGCTATATTATTCCATAGGAGTTGCCACTTTCTGAGATCCACATCTAAACGGGTGCTTCTCAACCTTGGCATTTTAAAGCCCTGTGGACTTCAACTCCCAGAATTCCCTGGGCAGCTGATGGAAGAACATCTGTAAAACTGTGGGCTGCATCAAAGAAGCTGGTTTAATTCAATTTACGCGTAAGTCATTTTTCCATGGGGCATCGTCCACACGTGTGAAAACTACAGCTCCTCTCATAACTTTTGTTAAATTTATTTGCTGCTCATCTTGCTGTGGGGGCTACTTAAAGCAGCTTACAACAGTAAACTGGGAAAAAATGATAAAAATGTGAATAGTAAAGCAGTGAAACAAAAATAAACAATGAAAGTGCAACAGTATGTACTGAAACATGGGGTGGGGCAGAAAATGCAGGGGGCAGGCGGGGAGGGGGGGCAGGGAATTAATCCAATAGCGACATTTCTTTAAACCAGCTAGAAAGTTAAGTTATCTCCTTACTGTAGCTTATATATTCAGCTGGCTCAGAAAGTTTTCAAGCTGGGTTGAAGTCAACTTCAAAACACAATAAAGGAGAATAATCAGACCACACCTGGAATGTTGCATCCAGTTTTGGTCACCACTTTACAAAAAAAGATGTTGAGACTTTGGAAAAAGTGCAAAGAAGAGTAACTAAGATGAGTAACTAAGCCTGGAGACTAAAGATGAGTAACTAAAGATGAGTAACTAAGATGAGTAACTAAGCCTGGAGACTAAAACATATGAAGAACGGTTGCAGGAACTGGGTATGGCCAGACTAGAGAAAAGAAGGATCAGGGGAGGGGGGGAGGGACATGATAGCAGTATTCCAGTATTTGAGGGGCTGCCACAAAGAAGAGGGGGTCAACTTATTTTCCAAAGCATTTGAAGGCAGGACAAGAAGCAGAGGATGGAAACTAATCAAGGAGAGAAGCAATCTGGAATTAAGGAGAAACTTCCTAACAGTGAGGACAATTAACCAGTGATCAACTTGCCTTCAGAAGTTGTGGGTGCTTCATCGCTGAAGGTTTTTAAGAATAGCAGTCATTTGTCTGAAATGGTATAGGATCTCCTGCTTGAGCAGGGGGCTGGACTAGAAGACCTCCAAGGTCCCTTCCAGCTCTTTTCTGATTCTAATATTTGTAACTCAGGGTTGAAATGAGAGGTCCCCAGTACTCTTGAGCCTGGTGGTTTTCTTGCAGATGTTTCCTTACCCAAACTACTAACATCAATACTAGCATGGATATTACTTAGTTTGGGTCATGAAACGTCTGCAAGAAAACCACCAGACTTGAGACCACCGGGTCCCCCTCACTTCAAAACACATCATGGTTAATATGATCTAATGTCCCAAAGGTGCTTTTTCAAAAGACAACTCGACTTTTTCTTTGAAGACGACGTTTGTCTTATCCAAGTAACTTCAGTTCTTGGATAAGCTGTGAAATATCAAGGAGAAACAAAGTCCAGCTATCTTTAGAAAATGCACCTTTGGGATAACTACAACCAGGATGACTGAGAAACTCCATAGACAATGTTGCCTAATGTCTATGGAGATTCTCAATCATCCAGGTCATGGTTGTGCCGAAGGTGCTTTTTTTTTTCAGGAGGCAACTGGACTTTGTTTCTCCTTGATGTTTCCCTTCTGATCCCAAAAACTTATCAAAAGAACTGAAGCCACTTGGATGAGAAACAAAACGTCTGCACTTGGAATACTGCATCCAGTTTTGGTCACCACGATGTAAAAACGATGTTGAGACTCTAGAAAGAGTACAGAGAAGAGCAACAAAGATGATTAGGGGACTGGAGGCTAAAGCATATAAGGAACGGCTGCTGGAATTGGGTATGTCTAGTTTAACGAAGAGAAGGACGAGGGGAGACATGATAGCAGTGTTCCAATATCTCAAGGGCTGCCACAAAGAAGAGGGAATCAAGCTATTCTCCAAGGCGCCTGAAGGCAGGACAAGAAGCAGAGGATGGAAACTAATCAAGGAGAGAAGCAACCTAGAACTAAGAAGAAATTTCCTGACAGTGAGAACAATTAACCAGTGGAACAACCTGCCTCCAGAAGCTGTGAATGCTCCAATGCTGGAAGTTTTTAAGAAGAGACTGGACAGCCATTTGTCCTAAATGGTATAGGGTTTCCTGTCTGAGCAGGGGGTTGGACTCGATGACCTCCCTTCCAACCTATTACTATTATTATTAACAAAAGTCCAGTTGCCTCCTGAAAAAGCACCTTTGGGACAATGTTGTTTCTCTGTGTCATATATATGGGTGTATGCATAAGTCTGTATTTACTTGACATATTTATGTAGTGTATATTAGAGGTGGTGACCCTTTTGTGAGCTGTATGCAACAAAATTTCATTTTAATCCTTTGCCTATTCATGTACGTTCAAAGTGACAATAAAGTCATTCTATTCCAACGTTGCCTAACGAAGATGACCACCCTCCTTTTTAAGATTCAGAGGACAAGGTCTATTCTTTTAAGGACTAGAGTTGCCAGTGGTTTGTTATCAGAGTTAACAGCGGCTCTTCTTTTGCCTAAGTGGGTGGCTCTTAAAAGAGCCTTTTGATGCTCGCAGCGGGATTCCCGCGCGTTTTGTATTGAAAAGAAGCTTTACTTGGAGCTGGTGTACTTGGTGACGGCCTTGGTGCCCTCGGAGACGGCGTGCTTGGCCAGCTCTCCCGGCAGGAGGAGGCGGACGGCCGTCTGGATCTCGCGGGAGGTGATGGTGGAGCGCTTGTTGTAGTGGGCCAGGCGGGAGGCCTCGGCCGCGATGCGCTCGAAGATGTCGTTGACGAAGGAGTTCATGAT